TTTTCATTTTTTTGAGTTCAATTCACCCGCACGCACAAATTTCTAATTCGAGGTCTCATCAACGACTAATATCATAATTTTTTGAGAGTCTCTCTACTGATCTAGGCACTGATTGCTGTTTTATGGGACAAAAACTTCTAAGCTGAAAATGCGGGGCGGAGAAATCCTAGTTTACCACTGACGCTACTTTTTCGAATCATTCAATTTCGAATATAGTATTTTCATAAAGAAAATTTTGTACAATAGCGTATTATTTAGTTTTTATTTGAAACATTATAAAATTCCCAAAAAATTCGAGAGACCTCCGGCAACTAAAATTTAGACAGTGTCCCATTAATATTTCGATTAATTGTAATACTCATGCAACGGAAGATGAACGAATTTTTCTCATACAAGCCAGTTAAAAATGAAAATGAATTGTATTTTTCTTAAATAATTTTTCGAAATAAATCGCAACTCACAATGAATTCTCCACCTCTGTTGTGGATGCTGATCTCTCCAATGATCTGGATTCCCGCGATTCCTTGCTGCTGTTACCAATATGTCTTGAAATCCGAAGATAATGAATCGAAGAAACATCGACAGCAAATGCATTCTGAAAAATCAAAAACTGATGGTTTTATAAGAAAAAAAAATATTATTTGTAATGAAATATGACGTATTCTCATTCCGCAATGAAGATTTTAGAATGAACTTGGGAAATTCATTTATAGATTTCTGCTTTTCAATTATTATATCAAATAATTAACAAAAAATGCTGAAAAGGAATAATAGTTCTTGATTAATTGAAGTAAAATTTTTCAATATTTTATTGAATTTGAAGGTGATCGAAGTGAGCGAATGAAAAGAGAAGCGATAGAATGAGTTGTGGCGAATAAGAGTAACGTGATTAGAAGTTTGCGACTCTTGTGTTTTTGACGGTAATTGAGGGTGTCGGCCGGAAGATTTGTTGCTCTTGATTGCCGGAAACAACTCCTCCTTCTCGTTCTTCTCGTCGTGCTCGACGATGCTCTCGTTGCGTATTCGTATAATTCAATAGACACACCCGAATACAATAGCGGGCCGACAAGAAATGCCAAGGAGTTCTCGATGAAATCATTATTGCCTCAAAATTTTGTCCATTTTTGTTATTTCTAATTTTCAGACTGCTGCCTGCTATACGATATGCAGAAAGAAAAAAAAACGAAATGAGGCAAAAACAACGATTATGATTAATTGGTCAAACACATGGTCTAATTCAGCCACAAAACTTGATAATAAATCATATAAAATGAAAAAGTAAGAATAAGAAAAGGATTTTGGAAATAATTCTTAGTTGAATTCGTTGGAAATCGAACCATGTCGAGTGAAGGGCGTGGTTGCCGGAATGATTGATAATAATTGCAGAAAATGTTCGCGCGGCGAGCCACAATCGCGAGAAAATAAGTCGAAATTCGATTTCGGAGCCCCGAAAAACGCAATATATTTAATAAATTGAAAGAAAATAGTTATGTGTGTGTGTGTGTTTAGCTTGTGAGGCACTTATAATACCAAATAAGGGGTTTCACGATAGCACATTTTTGATGATAATAATGCAACTTTTTAAACTATTTTTATATAAGTTTAAATCAAGCCAAATGAAGGATTTTTTGTATCTTAAAACTGAGCACAAAAAAATAAATAATTTCCAGAATTATAAATAAATAATAATAATGAAAGTGTTTAAAAAAGGGAAATGAATGTGATATTCTAGAATTGCTTAAAATAACCCATTTAGAGAATTCAAAAACTAATCATTATAAAAATTCAAAAAATGATTTTTCAAAAACCAAACAAAAAATAAAAATTGCGTTTGACGAATATAAAAATTGGAATTTCGTGGAAATTGAAGAAAGATTAGTTGGAATATTCCGGTATGATTTATTATTAGAAAAAAAATTAAATAAGAAAGTTAAAAATGTCCAAAATACGAAACATCACAAAAAAATATTATAAAGAAGAATTTGAGAGGCTTCTCGGCCGAGAATTTTTGCGAAACCACAACAAAATTCTCAATTTCGAACCTCGCTTTAATTACTTTTTTATCGGATTCATTAATCAAATAATGGGGTTTTGAAATGAAACGAATCGACGTTAAATTCGAAAACAAAATAAATAAGAAAACTTAAGAATATTGGGAATAAACGAAATATAATTTGAAGAAGCTGTGTTGAGGCGGAATTTAAAAAATGGCCGGTCACCTAAATGCAAAGAAAAAAAACAAAAAGGTTCGGCAAACAGAGGGCAAACGTCGCGTTGAGACTTTAATTTCCCGAAAACCCCTTTTTGACACATGGAAAAGCTTTCAGCGACGAGAAGAGCTTCACACTTCCGGAGGTGAGTGTGTGCACGACCACACACAAAAAGCAATTGGTGAAATTAGAAACTTATAACAACAGGTTGCGCCTATTATTTATAGGTTTGCTGCGACGTTTCGCGGGCCGCTGAATTTATTAAATTCGATTTTGTATGAAGCGCGAGATATTCAACAGAAAGGTTGTAGAATTGGTCCCTCTGAAGAAATCCAAACAAAATTGTTCGTTTTAAGACAATAGCGCAAAAAATATGAGCCCGTGAAGTGCAAGTTGACAGCAATATGAATGAATCTCGTCATAAGCTGCAAAAAATTAAAAAAAATTGTGAATAGTTTATCTTGGATGATGAACTAATGGTAAAAATCACAACATTAAACGAAAAAGAAGAAGAAAAATGAAGAAATCGACGACTAATTTACATCAAAAAATAAGCATGTCAGCCATTTCTCTCACCTCTTCTTTCGACTTTCTCCGAAAAATGTCAGATTAGTGAATTAACAAACAAGTTGGCACGAGTTGGGGGCAAAAACAGAAATGTAGCTGAGTTGGCTGCCAGGATGGAAGAATGAAAATCAAAAAAAAAAAGAAGTGACAAACTAGTAATAATAATAATAATAATAATAGTAATAATAATATAAGCAGGAATATTAAAATAGAAAATGAGAAAAGGAAGCGAACATAAACAAATATGCGACCTTGATTTTCTTGTTTTTCGACATTTTTTTGAAACTTAAAACGCATTTAGGAATATTTTGCAAAACCCAAGGGAAGAATAAATCGTAACTCGTCGATTAGTGAAAATGTTCAAAATAAGACTAAGTTTTCACACCGAGAATGTCAGAAAACTGAACGCATGGCGGGTTCGAGAATTTTAAAGGTGGTGGCAACAATTGACACGAAGAATACTTTTCGAAAATGCAAAATTCTTCATTTTCAATGGAGAAATAGTTGGGATTTTTCAAGAATTTCCGATTTTGCCGCACTTGAAGGGCGAATTCATTCGTGATAACATAAAAATAATTCAGCTTAACACGCCCATTTCCTTTATTATGCTAAACTTAATCACGTTCGCATTTTTAGAAATTGAATTCTGGGATAACTTTTGTGTAACACAAAACAAAACCTGCGGACGCAAAAGGCAGAACGCAATCGGAACTCTCGGTTGCGTCGGCAATTCGGTTTGTTCACACTTGTAATGAAGAAACACTGAATGCTCCTAAATCAAATTTTGTCAGGAGCCGATGTGATACATCTACTCACTATAATAAGCCTCTCACAATTTCTGAGCGAAATCAAAAAGTGGAAAAGATTGAAGATAAATCTTGCAGCGCGTCGCATGTGAAACGACAATTTTTCGATGGAAAATTAGCGCATTGAATTAATGGAGAGCACTTCGAAAAGAGGCTCAACTAATGCACAATTGTCTGTAAAACATGCAAAAACTCATCGAATTGTGCATTTTAATGGTTTTTCGTTTTTCACGACTCATTTACAGCAAATGAGAGCGCAGAGAAAATGAGGATTATGCTTGCATGAATCGTCTGTGGGATTTATGATGAGACGAGAAACAAATCTCAGATTATTTATATACTGCAATTCATTTCGATTCTTCGATTTGTTAACACATTACATCTTCATGCCGTTTAATTATACTGAAGCGGAATCAAAAGATGAATCTGCTCAAATTCCCCGTTTATTTTTTGATTTTCCAATTGGATTTTCTTCAAATGTATGTATCTACATTTTCTTTTAAAAGCATGAAAATTTAAATTAACAAATCGATAGTTTATAATAAGCGATTTTATCATTTTTTAAATTTCGCAGAATCAAAATTTATTGGTAGGTCAAAAGCGAATTCGAGTGCATGCATGTAGATTTTCGTATATAAACTGGTTAAAACGAATATTTTGGACATAGGTTTTTAAGAATTTTAAGCGTTTTAACCGGCTTTTTGAATTTTACTTTTTTAAATATGCATAGTTCCATAACAGCGTCAAGGAAAAAAAAACAAGAAAATCAAAGGCGAATAAAACGCGATAATGGTACGATACAATACGTATCTGAATGTACATAGGTAGAAACGAATTGGTCCACGACCTCCGCGACAACCCTGAGCAATTGCAATTTAGGGTGACTAATTTCATTAAAAAACCTAGTAAAACATGATTTTTTCTTGAATATTTGTAAAATCACCGAGTTAAACGATATTTATTTCATTAATAGCTTATTTTCCTCCGCCTTTTCAGTGCTTCAACATGTTCTTCAAAATAACTCGATGATGTCACCTCTGATTGATAAAAGTGGTTCCATTATGTTTTTTTTAACTGCATACTTTTTATGAAATGAAATGAATTACGTCATTTTATTGGCATAATCTGTTACCAATTCGACAATATTTTTCAATCGGATCCGAATAACACTCCTTGTTTTTTGTTGGCCGTTAAACAAGTGTTAATCGTAAGTGGAATTACGTCCAACAATAACAATTCTGTTTCTTTTTTTGGAGAGAAATCATTGAATAATAGCAACAATGTTATCTGTTGAACCTCCCCTCAATCTCTCTCTCTCTCTTTATTGTTCTTTCCACTCTCACCTTCTGTATTTGCGTAGTGCGTCTGTGTATTTCGCATTTTACATTGTAAAATTTGTCGAAACTTATTTCATGCCATGAAGTGTTCAGTATGTGGTCTTCCTGCCAAACAATTCCATTTTGGCTCAAAATCGTATACATGCAAGTAGGGGAAATGTTTGATTTCAAATTTTTCGTTTATTATTTTTCAGAGCGTGTGCGGCATTTTTTAGAAGATTCTTCATGTCGCCAAAATTATCGATTAGTTGTAAAATCGAAGGAAAATGTAAAACCGGTTCGTTTTGGTTGGAATTTTCGAGTTAAATATATTGAATATCTTGAAAAAGAATGCTGATTTCCGTCAGTATCATGTTAATGAAGGATTCTTTATTAGAGACCCTCTTTAAAAAAAATAATATTTCAGACAACATTAAACTATGCCGACATTGTCGAATGGAAAAATGCAAACAAGTTGGAATGAGGCCTAATGGTTTGAAAAGAACTAAAGGTTCGCTACAAATCAATTTTCAGCAATCCAACCGTCTCGTGACAAATATGGAAGTTCAAAAAAAGCAAAACCCGTTCAAAATGTCGCAGATTCTTTTACTTATAGCAAAGTATTTCGAAATTAATAAGTATTCATCAGAAGTCGTTAATTTTCAGTCACCGTTCGATCTACAAAGTTCCTCAAATGATGTTCCATTAATTTTTCGATTAAGCAAAAAATTTGAATGTTTAGAATCACGACGGAAAACTGAATTGGGAGTTTCGGTAATTCCATGAGTTTCTAAATGTTATGCATAGTGTATAGTATTTGAAGGTCTCTCCGACCCCTAGAAACCTGAAAGACATTTTAATAATTCTTAAAAAAGACTTGAAGTTGCTCAAAACATTTATAACGCAAGCTTTTCCCGAGTTTAGTCAAGCTGGAAAATTTGAAATGGTATCTAAAAGATCACGTAACAACGGCGGAAGTTTTTTTCTTTTAGAAAAGCGTTTTCCTAAATTTTTTCGTCAAATACACACTAATTGAGCCGCCATATTTATCGCTTATGACTGGTTGTGATAAACTTCTTCTGCCAAACGGAGATTTTTACAACGACGATATTGCTTCATTATACGGAAGCGGCTTAAAATCGCAACGCATTTCGAAGGAACAAACTGAAGAGTAAGTTTCAATACGTTGAGCGATTGTAGAAAATTGCCTGTATGCCAAAACAATGTTTAAAAAAAAGGCCTGCACGGTGGCCTATACTCCCGGTGGCCAACGAAAAAGGAGGCAACGTCATCTGCTCAAAGGGGAAATAATGTCTCTTAGGGATTAACAGATTTATTTTTATGAGTTTCAACAGAAACACTTCATTTATTCGCTATAATGACTATCGTTTCCTTTATCATTGTGCGAGTTGCTGCTCTGAGAATGCCGGACGAGAGAGAATTGTCAATTTAAAGCCACATTTTTACCAAAGCCTTATTTTACAGAGTACGCTTTTATTTCGAAATTGGCTGAACACCATCTAATTTTTTTAATATGCTGAATGATTAAATATATTCAACAAAGGCTATCAAGTTAAAACGGTGTTTTAAATTCATATTATTTCTAACAGCCCGCTTTGCTCAGAGCAACAACTCGTTCGTCCAAGTATACAAAGATTCAGTAACTTCGCACTATGATCATAATGATAGAGTAGCATGATCTCCTAATTTGAAAAAAAAAATGAAAATGAATAGAGTAAGTAGGAGCCACACTTTTCACGAATCTTCCAGTCGTGCCAATAATGGAACTAAAGCATTTCTTCTGAAACCCATGCTGAAAATGTGTTGTTCCTTAAAAGACTTTGTAGAATGCACTCATCGAGACACACGTTCGGTTGACTCCTAAGAGACATTGATTCTCTGAGCGGATGACCTCCAAGAGCACGTTGCCCCCCATTCGCCCTAATTTTGGCCCACCCCGAGAGCATCGGCCGTTCATATTGTGCGCCTTTAACGTATCCTCTAGATTGTTTTGGCATTTAGCTAATTTTCCGCGATCGTGCGACGTCGATAATGTGTCTTGAAATCACATTTTTAAAGAATTTTCCGGCCGTTTTGGGAAACGTATAACCGCATGGTTTGTAATGAAATTTTCGCATTAAAACCGGACGTTGTCGAATTTCTTATTTTAGTGGCCCTCATTTGTTGCGACGACGGTAATTTTGCACATTCTCAATTTTTTTTAAACTCTCATTTTTTTGTTAGGAATGGATGGACTTTCCTCAGATTCAATCGAGATTTTTCGTAAACTTCGAAACGCAGTATTTTCGGAAACAATATTTTATCTTACGAAAATCAAAAACGATCCGGAGCCTTGCTTGCGTCTCGGAAAATTGATTTTAATGTTATCACATTTGCATGTGAGTTTTGATAATTGACGACATTTCGTTATTCAATATTACAGAAAGCCTTTGTGAAATATCAACAAGAGTTGGAACTCTGCGGTTTTCTGGAATTATTCGAAAGCGAATTGGACGGAGAAATGTACACAGTACTTCACGAGGCTCTTTCATTGTAATACCGGTTAAAAAACAACAATAATAATCATAATAAAGTTTATAAGACTATATTTTTCTTAATCATTTTCTATGCCATTGTCTGTCGGTGTTTCCTCTGTGGACCCTGATAGTGTGGCCGTCGATGATGAAGTTGTAGAAACCATTAATATTGGTGCTATTGTTGAATTTGTGACATCAGTTGCCTGAATTGTGCACATTTCGAAACTGTCGAAAAACTATTTCGATCATTCTTGATAATATTTAGTCAGTCATTGAAATTCATTTTTTTGGACTTTCAAAATTTTACCTCGATTTCGCAATTTTCTCCAATGAAACCTTTCGGGCAATCAGTACATTCGACAAATCCATTTTCAGTAATCACACATTCTCCGTGTTTTCTAAAAAAAGAAATTAAGCAGTTCAGTCAGCCTCGTCGAAATGCTTACGGGCATGGGCATTGAATGCAATCGTTTGGAGTTCCTTTCGTCGCATCTCCATAATAGCCAGAAATGCACAATTCGCACTGTTCTCCACTTGTGTTCTCTCCACAATGCTAAATTTTTATGTGATGAACTTGCATTAATTAATTTCTATAAACAGTACCAAGCATTTTCCATCAGTACAAGTGTCTGTATGATTGTTGCAATTGCATGCTTCCTTCTCGACGCATCCACCTTTTATCTCGGAATATGCGAATCCTTTCGCACAGCTGAATTATTCGCCAATTAAATTATTCAGCCAATTTATGCAATAAAAACCTTTCACATTGATAGCCTTGAGTATTATTAGCGCAATCAAGACACACGTGAGTTTCGAGATCACATTTCGCCGAGTTGTTGTTGCAATCACATTTTCCATCGTATTCCAAGTAGATTCTCTTGCATATTGACAAGGATTCGCTGTAAATCATAATATTAATAGTTTTAAATTTCAAATAAATTGATGATTTAGTCCTACTCGACCCGTTTCTTTCGACTTGTATCGCCTAAATTGATATCTTTTCGTTTTACACTTAAATATGCAGCGATGTACTGTGGCGACACATTGCGAGCAACTCGCATTTCCTCGACATCCTGAAATAGAACAGCCGACATCGAAAGAGACGAAATTCGTTTACCTCGCTCACTTGTTCCCCCAAAAGATGGGAAATGAATCTTCGACATCCCGATGTTATAATCTCTTCAGCTTCTTCCCGGGCAATTCCCCGAGTTTCGTCATAAAACTTGTAGAGTTGGTCATAGACTACCTCATCGTTAACTTGATCGTCTTGTATCATTAATGCGATTTTCTGTTTTTGTCGATAATCCAGCCATGACATTAAATCAGCGTGTTTGTAGGGAACAATTCGGTATATTTTCGCACAAAATTTTCCATAATGATCTAAAAAGCACGAATAATTATTTGCTAAAAATTGATGGAAAACCTGCTGTTAGTCGATCTTCTTCATTTTCTAAACTACTGATTATGATTGTATATTTATTATTGATGTGCTCGGCTTGCTCGCTATCATTGTACATATTACCGAGTTCTTCGAATTTCTCTTCTCCAATTAACGCCTTGATATTTCTATTGCAATATTCCACTAGTTTTCTATAAATTAAAAATTTTGATATGATTTTTCTAACCGTTTTATATCGTTTTATTACTGTTCAAATAATTTCCTTGTCGATTTCTTCAAATGATAGAATTGTTCTCCAATCACATTCATTTTTTCCCATGACGAGTCGTTTTTTATTCTTGAAACTGTCAACTTTTGTTTAGTTGTTTGCCAAGCGAGCAATGCTGAATCGAGCGGTTCCGGCTCTTTGATTTTGGAAGGTTTATCTTCGACACTCCGAGAATGACGATTCGAAGGATTCATAGCAAAGAAATCCGAAATCAGTTCCTCCTGCCGATACTTCGGCAATCCATGAAAATGCTGCATTAACTAAAAACCAATAATAAATATTCAAATATTGAAATAACTATGCACTATTATACATATATATATTAGTATATTATACAATACTTACGCCTTGCTGAATGAGATCAACGCGATTTGTTTTCTCCAATATTGTATAGAGATGATTAATTTGTTCGAGATCAAGAAAATCTACAATATTTTTCTTTTCTATTCCAAAATTATCTTTTCTGCAATTAGCTTCGTTGTTGTCGAAAAACAAAGACTGTCTTACCTATATGAATTTATTAATGAATGATACTCTAGAATCAAAGTTGAATAAACTTTATCAAGGCATTTCACACTCTGAGAATTCGATTTTTTCGCATATCGATCAAATAATTTTTTGAAACTCTCGAAATCACTGTTCATCAAAAAATTCTCCGCCGTTTTTTGCGCTTTTTTGTTTAGCGAGCTTTTCCATTTTGTGCATGCCTCGATGTGAGCAACAATTCGTGAGCGAAGATCGATTATTTCTTTTTCGGACGTTTGAGTTGTAAGTTTAGAAACCTGAAAATGTAATTAAGCGAACAAATGTTTAACCTCTTAAAAATTTTTCACACTATGGTGTGGCTTCACGTTTACCATAGTGTGAGCAAAGGACGGATCGTAACTGCAACTACATATTGTCGCGAGTGGACAATTAAAATGCGGCTTTAAGACTCGAAAAAATAAAGTCTCAGGATGGCAAATTTTTGCTGTAATCATGTGAAAGTGCATGATTTGAAATGAATTTCGAATATGTCTGGCGATAACAAGTAAAAAAATGAGTCCCTTTGGTTTTACAGGCCAAATCAAATGGCAGAACGCGCAATCTAATTTTTTTTGCAAGTACCTTGATGATATTGAGAACAAGCAATATCCAAAAAATCACTCGAATACTCATGATAAACAGTCACCACATGGATTTTGCAGATAATGAAGGGAAGGAAGACTTGTTTTTCTTTTCGCTTTCAACCAGCGACGAGTAAAAATCAATTCGATTGATAAGATTCGTCACGGGCGTTTTCGTCTTCTCGCACTCTTCACCTTTATCTTCAATGGAATTGGATATATTTTTGAATGATTGGACGATATGAACGACAGATACTATTTTTAAATTATCGGGAGGTGAAATTTTGTAATGTCTTCGCATAATTCAAGTAACCAATAAGTCAAAAAAATGAATGGATCGCGCACTGTGCAATTTTTGAAGGAAAAACAGATATAAAAACAAGTTAAAATTTTTGAAAAATTATGGACAAATTGCAGAAAACATATTTTTAGCCAGTTCTTTGAGACCTTTCTTTCTAAAATCTGCACTCTACACATCTAAAAAGAGGGCTAGGAATATGAAAACATGACGGAATGTGGTTATCGAAGAAATATTATTAGGTCGAGAAATTAATTTCCGCGTTTTTTTTTCGCATATTAAACTATAAAAAACTGGCAAAATTAAACAAAACTTTGATTCAAAATAATTTCCGTCAATAATAACAACATTTTCCCAGAGTTTTGGCAACTTATGGATTAAATCATAATAGAATAGAATTTTTCTGGTTTGGACGCAGTCCATTCAACTAGCCATTTTTTGACGTCTTGATGATCTCGAAAGCGCTGCTCACCATGCGGCTTTTGCGTTGTCATCAAGCAATACGACCTTTTCGTGTCGACCCGCCCATTCTGGCCTTTTTACTGCGATTTCATGCCGCAACTGCACTAGTTGATGTTAATAGCGATTCGCAGTTATTGTTGGAGCAGTTCAGAGTACAGAATTCCTTGTTGGTCCCACCATATGCACAGTAAGACCTTCTTCCCGTGGATGTTGGGTTTTGTGGTCGAAGTTGTCGGAACACCGGGACTAACCCATGATTTTCTTCGCTTCGGATTGTCGTAGTACACTCGTAGTGTAAAAAAGACTTTCTTCGAAATCTGTCCAAGAGGATTTGTGAAGTTGTTTTTCTCTGTTCTTTTTTGCGTTCTGAGAGCTCATAGGGCATCCATTTTCCTTCCTTTTGAATCTTCCCCATTGCTTTCAATCAATGAAAAATTGCTTTTTGCGTGACGCCGAGAGATGCCGCGAGTTGTTCCTGCGCTTGTGCCGAATCTTCATCCAACAAAGCCTGAAGTTCTTCGTCTTCAAATTTTTTGGCTGTTCTGATCGGTCCCGATTTGAAACGCTGAAACCATTCTTGGCAAGTTCTTATAGATGTTGCAGCCTCGCCGTAAGCTTGGGCAAGCATTTGGTGCGCGTCAGTGGCTTTCTTGTTAGGTTGGAAAAGGAAAAGAAGAGGTTCCCGCAATTGACGTTTTCCTGGCTCAAAGGTGGACATATTCTGAACCCATAATAATGATTTTTTATAAAGTACGAGAAGAATATTACAGTATATATAAGTAGAAAGCTGATAATACAGAGAATATTATAACATAAAATTCGTTATATAAAAATAATTTCATTTTGGCAAAATATCAACAAGAAAAAAAAACGCGGAAATTAATTTCTAGATCTAATATATACCAACTTTATGGAAAAATTTCAATGCGTTTCATGAGATCATATGGAACTGTCCTTATGTTTCAGGTACAATAGTTTCATGTTTATTCTATCCATATTCATTTCGTATCGAATCCCCCTCGCAATCACGAAAGACGTTTTCAACCTATTATCGTCCACAGGCTCAGACAAAATGATTATTTTTATCATAGAAAACGTAACTGAGAAATTATTGTCAGAATGTTTTTACAAGGATTTTTATATAAAATTTTATATACTTCCAATGTATATAATTGAATCCCATACAAATTAGTAGAACATATCAATTTTAATTGATTTGCACATAAGCTAATGATTCTGTCCAAGTTTAGAACATACCGAGTATAAACTCTGGAAACTCAAAACCAATCGGATCCGACAAAATTCGGCTCCGGAATCAACCTTATCCGATTGGTAATTCTACGAATAAGATTGGAAAATTATCGGATCCGATTGATTATTTGGGTATTTTCGTATCCATCTTTTTTTCTTCGAATCCGTTGTGTTTTAATATTTCAATTCTAATCGAATTCGACAAATTACCAATTGGTTTTGAGTTACGAGAGAAGATATATATGTATATTATGTATATTAATACTATGTATATTATATAATACTATGTATATAATATAATACTATGTATATTATATTATGTGCTATGTATATTATAAAAATAAAACTCGCAAGCAATGTATGAAATGATAAATTAAATGTTTTCTGACTGTGGGAAAAAACCGTCAATTTTAAACGTTTGTTTCCACATTCATAACAGTTCAATTTCATGAAATTAAAATTACCATATGTTTTATTTTTACGTTTTACATCAAGGTTGGGCCGAGGAGTTTTGCTAAAAGAAATATCGATTACTAGTAAGCAGTTTTTCAACTCACCAAAGGTGCTCCAAATAATTTTCGACGATGTGGGTTAACGCTATCCTGCTATTCGCAATCGGGAAGAGTTACCGAGTGCACCAAAGGGCCTAAAAAACGTTATAGTATTTTTATTATATATAACAAAACGCATCAACAAGCATTAACGAATCAATTAATGTTATTTCTAAATTTTTGGTTTTTTTTGTTTTTTTTAGTCGACAAGACAGTTGACATCCCCATTTATGGAAATGTAGCCTTTTTGGCCATTCCTCCTCATTAATTTAAAAAAATGCGATAGAATCCAATCATTGGAAATTGTTCAGATCAGATTTGTTTAGATAATTCGAATCCGATTCGAAATTCCTCGGATCCGATTCGATTTTTGTATTTTTTTCTGATCCGATTGGTAATTTCTCGGATCCGATTGGAAATTGTTCAGATCAGATTTGTTTTGTAGATACAGTACTGGCCATAAAGAATGTCCCAAATGGTTTATCGAGCATAACTTTTTTTGGAGTAGACCATTAGTTCCTATTTTTTTTACAGGATTATGTACACACAATACGCATATTTGCAGCTCTTCTGTTTGCAGAAATGTGCGGAAAATTATTTTTTATAATTTTTTTTCGATTTTTCGATTTTCTCATTTTTTCGATTTTTTCGTTTTTAATTTTTTTTAAATGTTTTCTTTAGTTACTTTTGAAATCTAGTTTTTGATAGACGTTTTTATAGATGGGTAGACCTGAAGGAAAAAAACCATGTCATCAGACATCCGCAAAGCGATCGTGACCGGACGGAAACAAGGAGCTTCAAGCGAAATCCTTGCGAGTCAGTTTTCTTGCTCAATAAGGACAATTAACAGAATCTTGAAGCAATTTATAAACTCGGCATTGTTTTTTAAACGTTTGAAAACTATTTTCGACAATTGGCATAACTGTGATGTGCTCCAGTCACCCGGTAGACCCCGTAAAACCACCAGGAACGTTGATCGAAACATGGTTAGAGCATCTAGAGAGGACCCTAGACGTACTTCTACGGACATCCTAATCATCGTGAAGTCTCCAAATGACCCAACATCATCCAGGAGAACTATCAGAAGACGTGTGGTGGAGAATTTATTGCATGGACGACGTCCAGTGAAGAAGCCGCTCATCAGCGAGAAAAACCATAAAGCGAGAGTTGCATGGGCAATAGAACATTTGTCTTGGGGACGTCGTGAGTGGTCAAACCATGTCTGGAGAGACGAATCTAAGTTCCATTTGTTTGGAACTGACGGAATTAAGTGAGTGAGACGTCCTGTTGGATCCCGCTTCGACCCCAAGTACCAGTGCCTAACTGTGAAACATGGAGGCGGATCGTGCATGGTCTGGCGCTGCTTCTCAGGCACTTCAATGGGACCGCTTCGTCGTGTTGTTGGAGTCATGGATCGGTTCGTGTACGAAGACATCTTGGAGAACACAATGAGGTCATGGACACGTGCGAAACTCGGTCGGGCATTCGTCTTCCAGCAGGACAATGACCCCAAACACACTTCTTAGCAGTGTGTGCTCTCGGGAGAGAATTTCCCGAGAATTCCCTAAACTACCCAGAAACAAAATTCTCGAGACTCCCGGAAGCACCGAGAAATTTTCGAAATTATTAGTCTCGGTACTATACGGGTAGTCGCGCGTACGGGAACCGAGAGTCTCGAGACTTTCTCGGGATTTTTTTATTGATGAAATTCAGTAGTTAAATTGATAACTAGTAGGGTTTTGAAAACTAGCATAGTCAACATATTTTGAAAATGTTCGCCCGTATAAAAAGGGGATTAATACATAAATAAATCGTTTTTTTTTGCATACGATTGTTTGCGATTAAAGTAATGTCTAAGGTTTTCGTACCATAAGGTTTTAGTGCCATATGTTTCACCAAGACCAAAATTTCAAGTTGGCGTGTTTAGCCGACCGCGATTAACAACCGAAACGCGACGCGTATGCGTCGCGGTTAAAGCGGAACAGCTATTTTTTTAGTTTCGAAAATATTCACAAATATGTAGGAAATATCTTCATTCGTTTAAATTCTTTCTTTATCTGATGCGTAATGTGACTATTTAGTTTGGGTGGCATATCAATCACTTTTAACTTACAAGGGAGGTCTTTTTGCTGTCCGTTTTAAATGTTGTCAATTTTTTGCATACAGATTTTTTTTAGAAAATTTCCAATCGAATGAACTAGGCCCCAACCTGCGAAAACTTCTAGTTATCGAGTTATGAACCATCAAAGTTTTAGCCCCACCCACGTGAATTTTGCGTACTAGAAGTTTTCGCAGGTAGGGAGGAACTTAGTTCATTCGATTGGAAATTTTCTAAAGAATCTGTATGCAAAAATTGACAACTTTTAAGACGGACAGCAAAAAGACCTCCCTTGTTAGCATTTGTTAGTATTGAAACGAACTTAAAGGAGAAAAAATAAATTTTTTGTTCACTAAAAAAATTCCCGTGAAGGTCTCGAGACTCCCGAGAATTTCTCCGGAGTCTCGGAAGATTTTTCTCGAGAAAGTCTCGAGACTCCCGAGAAAGTCTCGAGAAATTCTCGCAAGTCTCGAGACTCCCGAGAAAGTCTCGAGAAATTCTTGCAAGTCTCGAGACTCCCGAGAAAGTCTCGAGAAATTCTTGCAAGTCTCGGTACTTTTTGGAAAGTCTCGGGAGTCTCGAAGACATTGTCGAGAGAAATTCTCTCGGTACCGGTTAATTTTCTCGATTTTTCTCGAGAATTTTTTCTCGAGTGCACACACTGCTTCTTAGCACGGCAAGAAATGGTTGCAACGTCGTCGGGTGAATCTTCTGGACTGGCCGAGTCAATCTCCTGACTTGAATCCTATCGAGAATCTCTAGAAGGAGCTGGAACGTCATGTACAAGCGTCAGAGTATCGAATGTCAACCAAAAGTTTGAACTTCTCGAGGCTGCATGGAAAGCCATCTCTGGTAACTCAAAACCAATCGGATCCGACAAAATGCGGCCCCGGAATCAACCTTATCCGATTGGTTATTCTACGAATAAGACTGGAAAATTGTCGTATCCGATTGGTTTTTTGGGTTTTTTCGGATCCGATTGGTAATTTGTCAGATCCGATTGGTAATTCTACGGATAAGGTTGGATATTTGTCGAATCCGATTCGAATTGAAATATTAAAACAAAAGGCCAATGTTCATTGACTCATACTTTTTGACTTGACTCATGATTTTTGACTCATAAAAATTGTATCATGATTTTTTATTCTTTGACTCATGATTTTTGACTAGTGATTTTTGATTAATTTTTTTTTGTCTAACAATTTTTGACTAATGAGTTTCTTATTTTTTTTTAGTTGAAATTCCTGAAGTTTTTTCATATTCAATTCTGTTTTTTTTTGGTCAATATTGATGGGTAAGAAGCTGAAGGGTGGGAGGAATTGGGGGACAGATTATTACTGAAAATTAATCAATCATTGAAATTTTCGATAGATCATTATACCGTTAAACCTTTATCAAAATGGTACTTCTAACAAAACAGCCTTCAAAAAACTTCTCAAAGTATAACAATGTGTTATTTTTGCTAAAATAATTTGCAAAATAAATTAATAAAAAATCACTTATCGCGTTATTCCATCCATTTCCCTCCTTTATTCACGCTAAATAATACATGATAGCGAATAAAAACTGTGTTTAGTTGTTTTCATTAAACTAACGGAGACTACTAAAAATATCAAATCATACATACCATTTGGCCCACTACGGATATTCGTTTAATGTTACAGTCGATTCCTTCGGTGGATCCGCTTAGCTGGGAGCCCATCAATATTGGCCAAAAAAAACAGAATTGAATATGAAAAAACTGCAGGAATTTCAACTAAAAAAAATTCAGAAAATCATTAGTCAAAAATTGTTAGTCAAAAAAAATTAGTCAAAAATCACTAGTCAAAAATCATGAGTCAAAGAATAAAAAATCATGATACAATTTTTATGAGTCAAAAATCATGAGTCAAGTCAAAAAGTATGAGTCAATGAACATTGGCCATCCGAAAAAACCCAAAAAACCAATCGGATACGACAATTTTCCAATCTTATTCGTAGAATTACCAATCGGATAAGGTTGATTCAGGGGCCGAATTTTGTCGGATCAGATTGGTTTTGAGTTACCAGAGATTCCGATGTCTGTCATTCACAAGCTTCTGGACTCGATGCCGCGCTGATGTCAAGCCGTTATTGATGCAAAAGGATACGCAACAAAGTATTAATACATTATTTTTTTGTTTCGACCATTAACCATCGCTTTAAAATGTTTTCTGCTTTCCAAAGTTGATTTTCCTTTTTACCGGTTTTTGACGTTTTTTCATAAATTTTTGTTTTTTGGTCAAATTTGTCGAAACAAATGGCTCCGAAGTGTTTAAATATTGTATTTTAGTGTCAGAAAGACTGTGTTAATTTTTCAGAATGATCGGTTTACGTTTAGAAAACTTATGCTCGGAAAACCATTTGGGACATTCTTTATGGCCAGTACTGTAATTCGAATACGATTCGAAATTCCTCGGATCCGATTCGATTTTTATATTTTTTCTGATCCGATTGGTAATTTCTCGGATCCGATTGGAAAATTTTTCCAATTCGGATCCGATTGGTTTTGAGTTACCAGAGATATATTTAGAGTGTAACAAAGTGGAGGCTGCACGGCGTTCACACTAGTGGGATTTACATGAAAAAAAGATTTTTCTCAATAGAGCGCACTTGCAGCTTAGCGCTATTCCGGTGCATAAATTCAACAAATTAAATTTGTGAAATAAATTAGAAACATTCTCAAAATGGAGCGTTTTTTCAATAAGAACGATTAGTTTTTATATTTCTTCCGGTGGATCAGATTCACCGCAATTCATGGTCTATTTAGTTATAAATTAAATAAGTTATTTAAATTTATATCGGATCTTTTTTTTTGAACATATACATAACATTTTTAAATGATAAAACCATCAATTAAACGAAAGAAATACTACACAATTGAATTATGATATAAAAATTGATGATGTGTAGCAGATGAATTCAATGCGAGTAGATAAAGACGCGAAAGAGATTGAATTCGGAAAGAGGATATAAGGACATTTGGAAAATTGCAAAACTAATAGGGAAAAAATACACTTATCAATTTGGAAACAAATGGATAATCAACAAACACATTTAACAAGATTCTCTTTACCGATTTCATTAGGCAGCTTGAAAAGATGTATTTGTTGCTATACAACACAAATAGCTAAAAAAAAAGGCATTTTTGGGCTGAGGACGTCTTTCCATTGGTCTTTTGGAGTAATTCGGAAGTTAAAAAAATCTCGAAAAGCGAATTGTCCGTGATATCGTTTCATCACTCCGCCAGCTTTTGAGTTTCGAGATGGAGTGCTTATCTGAATTCAATAAATGAATTCAATGCGAGTAGATAATGACGCGAGAGAGATAAATAGCAAAAAAAGAAGCTGAAAACGGTAAAATTAACGTAAGAACTAACGAAATTAAAAAAAACAACAAAAAATTATAGAGAATCTCTTGCAACTTCTCCGCCGAAATGACACACAATTTACATTTAAAATTTGCAAAAAAAATTAAAAATAAACAACTATGAAATGTTTTTCAAGTGTTAACAAACATAATCGTATAAATCAAACCATATTATATAACAATAAATGATATTAACAAAAGAGAGAGTGAAAAAACAGAGAAAAGAAATGTGAATATTTTTACAGTTCAATCTTTAAAAAACTACGGACCTCTGAATACTTATCCGATTGAATTATAGTAAAGCTTTTTCGATAGAAAAAAGCCTTGCGAAAAACGTGGTCGGTGCACTTTTTTGTTAAAATTTGAGAAAAATTCAAAAAACTGGAAAAAAGAGTCAAAACCTGGCGATTTTAAAAAAATTCGTCTGCGCGACAAAGACGCCAACAATCGATCACTGACACAGTTTGAGTTTTCATTTCAGGTAAATCCCACTAGTGTGAACGCCGTGGCTGCAGACAAAAAAGCAGTGGCTGAACTCTGACACGGCGTTGTGAAAATTCGGCCATCCCATTATTTTTGAACGTTTCTTTCTTATTCTTCTAGTTTTAATGTTTGTTTGAGTTCGTTTTTGATGAATTTTAAACACGAATATTTTAGCTTAAAAATTAAAATGATTCATTTTAGAAAAAATGGATGTAAAAAGCGAAGAGAATCAAGAAAAACCTGTTAATTCTTTGGAGAAGGTAGTCGAAGGATGCCGCATTAATGTGAAAATGATTTCGCAAAATGAATGGAGTACGTCATTTGTTTTAAGGAAGATATCTAATATTATTTTATTTTTTAGGGCAAGCTGAAATAATAACACGCGGAAGAGGTCCAAATGATACAATTCGTTTTTATGTGCATTACATTGATTGTAACAGGAGGTTTTATTTTGAAATAATAAGAAGATAACCTTTTGACAACACATTTATATTTTTTAGACTGGACGAATGGGTAACATCGGATTTACTTGACTTGAGTACTTTAAAAATGCCTCAAAAAGGTTCAAAGAAAGGACATTCGCATCACGATAATCCAGACGGCGACGTTTCGAAGAAAGCTTCGGCTGCAAACCGAAAACGCAAGATCCCTCTTTTGCCTGCAGAAGAACCGAAAAATGAAGCCGAAACTACGGCAACAGCTACTAGTAGTGGAAGCGGTAAATGTTTCTTTCAAAATAAAAACAAATAATTTTTTAGCTCCAAGTCTTCGAGGCTCAATGTCAATGGTTGGTCATTCTGAAGACGCAATGACACGGATTCGAAATGTCGAGGCGATCGAACTTGGTAGATATCGCATTCAGCCTTGGTACTTCTCGCCTTACCCGCAACAACTAACACACCTTGATTGCATTTTTATTTGCGAATTTTGCTTAAAATATATGAAAAGCAAAACCTGTTTGAAGAGACATATGGTACAAATGAATTTTTGGTGTTTATATCTAAAATTATTAATTTGCAGCAAAAATGCACACTCTGTCATCCTCCCGGAAATCAAATATACAGTTACGACAAACATTCATTTTTTGAAATTGATGGAAGAAAAAACAAGGTATACTCAAATGGGTCCTTAAATTTTAATTTGTGCTGGGATGATATTCAATTAGCAATTCGCTAATCGATTCATTGTTTAAAATCCAGTGCAAGCAGCTCACCACTGAGTGTAGTAATTTAAATATTTAACAAATTATTTTTAAAGGTATATGCTCAAAATCTTTGTCTTATCGCAAAACTTTTCCTGGATCACAAGACTCTTTACTATGATACGGACCCTTTCTTATTTTACGTGCTTACTGAGGAAGATGAAAAGGGGCATCATATTGTTGGTTATTTCTCAAAGGTATTTTGTCTTTTTTATATACATATATGTATATATGTATAAAATGTATCGTATTTTTTCTATATTTAGGAAAAAGAGTCCGCCGAAGAATACAATGTTGCATGTATTCTTGTTCTCCCTCCGTTCCAAAAAAAAGGTTATGGAAGCCTTTTAATTGAATTCAGTTATGAGTTATCCAAACTTGAAATGAAAACTGGATCACCTGAAAAGCCACTGTCTGACTTGGGATTGGTAATAACAATTTTTAATAACTTTATAATGTATTGTGTTGTTATTTTAGCTTTCCTATCGTTCATATTGGTCAATGGCGATCATGAAGGAATTGTTCCAATTTAAGAACCGGACAAACGGAGAACGAGAAATCACAGTCCAAGATTTGTCTGCAGCTACTGCCATTAAACGAGAAGACGTTGTGTCAACTCTTCAAGTAAGCGTTAAGCAAACCATTGTATTTTTAATGTTAAAAAATAACTTTGATTTTTCGAATAAACAACACAATATAGAATTTTTAGCAACTCGACCTGTACAAATACTATAAAGGACAGTATGTGATTGTAATCAGTGACGAGAAACGCGCCGTATATGAGAAGCGTATCGAAGATTCGAAGAAAAAGTTACGTATTAATCCGAATGCCCTACAATGGAGACCGAAAGAATTTGGTAAAAAACGAACTCAGTCGATTTTTTAAATACTCTTATTTTTATTTAATATTAATTCCCCGGGTATATTGTGCTTCATCTGTATTGTCGGTGAAAAACGGCCAAAAGAAATTGTATTATTGAAAAATTTCGAATGTTGATAGCCTTTCCCTCTCTCAATTATTCACTTGTTTGCGGTGGATTTTAAATAGGAATAAATCAATGGATTTTAAATAAGAATATTCAAGGAGTTTGCCAAGATATTTTTTGGATACGGTAATGAAAGCCGCACAGGTTTTGCTTCGAATTTGCATATTATCTACATTACACTCATTCAATATTCAGAAGTCCACTTTGAGTAGTTTGACGCCGACAATATGATCCGAATATTTTACTTTATTTTTCTCCAAAACCAAGTTCGCACATTTCCTATTTTTTTTAATGTAATAAAATCATTTTCGGTTTACATATCAATCTTATAAGCAATATACGATGCCCAAAATATGGAAATAACTCAGAATTTAACTCAACTGACTTTTATAGCGTATTTTATAGATTTCGTCGTAACTGGTTGTGTTTTCTGAACACATGTGTTTATACTTTTGCACAATAGGAGATTATAGACTATAAGACACAAAATCTGTTTTCCAAATATTTTCTGTCGAAATCAGGCTTAATACGAAACAATCTAGATTATCATAAACTGAGATAATCCCTTTTGACTAAATTCGACGCTATTAATGCAAAATCTCAATTCACGTCAACGGTGAAAAATACAATGACCGAGGTATCATTTGACAATATCACAGTTTATTCAAATCCAGTTATTTATTCGCGGATGGAGTATGCAGAAACAATTATGGGAATCAAAATGATTTCGCTTCAACTGAATTATTTAAATTTAATTTTAAACTCTTAATTTTACTTTATAAATTTGTGCTTTCCTTTCTTTTTTATTGAACTTCCCAGAAAAAGAAAGTAAAGAAAAGATTTAATGACGACAACGCCTGAAAGATACGCTGTTTTTTAAATGAGAATCAAAATCCGAAATTACTGCTTTAACAAGCGATAACGATTTTCAGACATATTGAAACCAAGGCCGTAAAAATCAGAGGAGTGAAGTGTTCTCAGTTAAATAACTGGTTCGTAATCGTATAGGACCAAATCGTTCTTCAAGCGCTGCCAAATACGATTTCGATGTCGCCGCTTACGATTGAATAATGAATTGTTAAAATCCTATTGTCGAAGTCGAGAATCCACGGAAAAATTCGCAAGCGTAAATCGACACAAGCCCAATTACTAGAGAGAGCGAATCATCCTCAGTCGCGCGATTTTGACAATATGTAAGAATTTAAAGAATCATGAGAGAATGTTGATATTCTGTCAGAAATTGCGCACCAATTTCATAATTATTATGAACATCTTCTGTATTTTTTTCAAAATTCTGTTTTTTCATTAGATTAAATTTTGTTAACTACATTCATTCCAATTGGTTAATCAAGTATTTCAATGAATTAGGATCGCAAAAACCGGATATCCTGCGAAGCTTAACCACCGTAAATCGGAGCAGGCGCTCGTTTTTTTTTTTCGAATGTATGAAATGTTATTATCAGGAGGGACAGGTGAATTTCGAGCGAATAATACTGTTTCCGTTATTAGCACCTGCTTTGCTGAAATGATTGCATTCGAAATGATTTATCAACAAACAACTTGTTAAAGAGGAACAATATCCAAGAAGAAATCGGAAAAATCGAAAAAGGAAAATTCTACTTTATTGTGTTCCTCTCACCCAGTGGGTGTGAACGTCTTCTTGGTGTGTAGTTTATTACTTAACAGGTCTGACGTATTTTGATACAAAACATCTAAAATTGCAAATTAAATTTCCAAAAATGCGTTGGGAAAATTCTTCGATAATGCGTTAGTCTACTTGTTTCTTCTCGATTTTTCCGATTTTTTTTAGGATATTTTTCCCTTTTTAAAATTTTTTTGATAAAAAATATTTTAAAAAAAAAAAATTTAAAAAAAAAAAAAAAAAAAAAAAAAAAAAAAATTATTTAATAAAAAAAAAACTATCCCCCCCTATAAAAAAAATAAAAAAAAAAAAAAAAAAAAAGCACCCCCTCTAAAATAAATAAATTTAAAAAAAATAAAAATAATATTTTTAAAAAAATAAAAAAAAAAAAAAAAAAAAAAAAAAAAAAAAAAAAAAAAAAAAAAAAAATAAAAAAAAAAAAAAAAAAAAAAAAAAAAAAAAAAAAAAAAAAAAAAAAAAAAAAAAAAAAAAAAAAAAAAAAAAAAAAAAAAAAAAAAATAAAAAAAAAATATAAATAAAAAAAATAAAAAAAAAAAAAAAAAAAAAGAAAAAAAAAAAAAAATAAAAAAAAAATAAAAAAATTTTAATTATATTTAAAAAAAAAAAAAAAAAAAAAAAAAAAATAAAAAAACCATTAAAAAAAAAAAAAAAAAAAAAAAACAAAAAAAAAAAAAAAAAAAAACACATAATGTTGATTTTTCCTCATTGTTTTTTCTCGCCCAAATCTGAAAATGTTACAGTTAATGTTCAATTAAGTTTTCTCCAAAATTTCACCTGTTTTCTTATTTGCTGTGTAAAAATAACTCGATTTTGGTTAAACAACATCAGGCGACTTAATCGTAGCATTTATACTTATGCTTGAGAAATCAAATCACATGGTAGCAAATTATTGGTTGGAGTTACATCGGCAAATAGCAATCAGCGGTTGTCCAAAACTGGAGGTTTTGTAACTTTGTATCGACTAGAATTTGGATATCCACTTACAAACACCCTGGAAGAACAAATCACAACAAACCAATTATGGAAATGTTTCGATTGGGTTTAATATCTAACAAAATGTTGTCGATGTAAAATGACCTATCAGTGACGGGAAATTTAATTCGGGAAAATCAGTGTAGATGGACAAAATTGTAGATTTACGCGCAGGCCAAACACACTACCTGCGCGTACGCTAAAATGCAGAGTACGCAAACACGCAGTTCTCTCTGCCTCGAGACCAGAACTGTGCGGCAATCGGAAATTTTGGCAATTAAAATTTTACAACGATAATTCGAAATATAAATACCGTATTTTCACGGTATCCCAAATTATTCAATGGACATTGATTTTTGTTTCGTCGATTTTTTTGACATCAAATTGTCGAAAATATGAATTTCGGCAAATCGGCAATAGGCAATTGCCGCACAGCCCTGCTCGAAACGACATGGCACATAGATAATATTTCTTGTTTTTAATTTCGATCAGTAGTTTGAAACCGACAATAATTCAGCAGCATTTTTTAATTTCAAAAATTTTCAATCAAATCGTTAAATCGTTTAAATCGTTGAAATCTCAATTCAATTATCTACTTTTTGTAAATCAGCAATTTTGGTGTTTTCCTCAAAATTTCCGTTTTGTTTAAACGTCTTGGTGGGAAAATGGTAATTTCCTCAATTTTAAATTATATTACAATATTCAGCATAAATTTTTCGTGATTTTCTTAGCGATGTACGCTTGCTCTTTGGTATATTTTTGATTTTTTTTGAAATTGTGAATTTTTAAACCAAATTATATCATTTGTCGGTGAGAAATCAGTAAGACTAACCCAGGTGACAGTGTTTCTCTTATAATTCCACAAAAAATTGTGCTGTTGTCTTTTTTTGAAGTTCAATTCCATTCAATTTATCATTTTCTTTGTAAGCAACGCCTGTTCAATTTTTTTTAAAGTGGAAGAAGGTGCCAAAATTAAGCGTATGTTCTAAATATCGTTGTATTTATGAAAAATATATGAATAAATAATGTTGTCAGCCTAAACAATGACGAGAAATTCAATTTCGTAAAGTCAGTGTAGATTTTAGAAATTGGAAAATTTCGAGTGGTCTAAATATTAACTGCGCGTAGGCTAAAATGCAGAGTACGCAGACACGCGCACGTCTCTTTGCTTCGAGACATCCTGGCAAATTGACAATTCTTTAAAATTCCACGATATTTTTGCTTCCTGTAAACGGTGTTATATTAAATTAAATGACGACCAGCTGCAGAAAATCATCAAATAAGACAGTTTTTTCTGAAAAAATAATCTTATTCAAAAAATTGACATTTTTAAAACGAGCATAAACAAGCGAAAAACAAACAAAAACCACAAAAAATGAATTTTTCTGAATTTGTCCGTCACATTTCTATTTTCGAACCGTGTATTGAAGACCGTTTGCAGGGTTTGGCAGGCGAAAGACATCTACGGGCGAAAAAATGTGCCGATCGCCCATCGTGCAACTCGGGCTCTCGCACCCGACTGACAACACACGTGAAACCCGAGACAGGAAACAACTTATTGTTCGTGCGGACTACACCGTTATACGGACCATGGCGGCGGGCGCCCGCGTGGATGCTTTAAGCTGGCGCACTGCTTTGCAGTATTCTTGTTTTCGCGCATCACATTTTTCAGTAACTTGGAACTACGCCTGTCGGACCCGAGTAAACTAGACAAATGGAAATTTTTGATTTCCTTCAAACTCTCTTGGAAATTTGTGGAATATTTTTTATTGAGTTTAAATTATGGCAATTTACTATGCAAATTTTTAACAAAAGTCAATGACAAATTGTAAAAGTTTGCGCGATTTCTCAGAATTTCAGTTGAGTATCAGATTTATAAAAAATACACAACCAGGGTGCCTTGAAGCCGTCAGTGGCCAGAAATTGCCAAAAGTGTTGAATAATTTAGCTAAGAGATTTCTTTTCATCGGGTATCATATTTTTTAATCAAATGAAAATCGTATACGATTATTGTTGATGTCGCGCGACTGCATAAAGTTAGCAAAATTCTTGTTTTTGACATTTTGCCAATTGTTCAGTCGTTCTTTGACCCCCCCCCCCCGATGTAACTCTAACCAATAATTTGCTACCATGTGATTTGATTTCTCAAACATGAGTATAAATGCTACGATTAAGTCGCCTGAAGTTGTTTAACCAAAATCGAGTTATTTTTACACAACAAATAAGAAAACAGGTGAAACTTTGGAGAAAACTTAATTGAACATT